GGGGGGGGGGGGCTTAATAATTTTCCTGACGAAAGTGAGTCGCTGATCCAGTACTTTGATTGTACGTATCTGACAGTGACCTTCAGGCGTGTTCAACAACCAAATTGCCGACTTCTTCGCCGCATTCCTTCATGATTCACTCCATCCCTCTGGAATGTGCACGATGCGACTGTAAATAGCGATCCACGCACCAACAATCAATGCGAAGGCTGGAACAACAAGTTTAAGCACATTGTTGGACATAAACATCCATCTGTGTCGAGTGATCAAGTGCCTGAAAGACGAGCACTCGTGTGTATCAGCCTTCAGGTTCATGACGATGAAATTGGAAATCCGCCAAGTAATGGTTAGACCATGGTCACGTGTGCTCTATGGGATATACAGGGTGTCTAAAAAAAGTGAACCTTTTCAAATTCAAATTAACTATAACGTATTGTAGTAACTTGAAAGCTCTAATTTCTTTGAATTACCGCAATTACTCGAATAAACGCCTCCCTCGAATTAACGCCGCCCTCGAATAAACGCCGCAGAGATAAGCAAAAATATTATTAAACGCCGCCTTCGAATAAACGCCGCATTATTTCTCATCGATGCGGCGTTTATTCGAAGCATTCATAACATATGAACTTTATTCTTAGTGTTTTTGGGTTAAATGTTGAAGTTGAGTTTTAAGTAAACAATAAATGCACACTTGTTGTTACAAAATTTGCAATAATCGCCGCCCTCGAATAAGCGCCGCCCTCGAATAAACGCCGCACCTTGAGCGCCAAAAATTTAATAAACGCCGCAGAGTTTATTCGATTAATTACTGTAATGGTTGGGTAAGAACACAAGGTATATAGCTAATTTGAATTTGAAAAGGTTCACACTTTTTTTAGACACATTGTATATTGATACACTATAGTGACTCTATAGAAAGCCACTAGTGACTCTATGTAGAGTCACTAATGAATTCAATAGAGTGGTTAATGAATTCAATAGAGTGGTTAATGAATTCAATAGAGTGGCTAATCATTTACTCTTTTTATTGAACCTTCTGTTTTCTTAACCCCACATTTTCCTGCGCTTCAAAGCCCTCGTGTCACTTGATGATTTACCACACTATGAGATTGTAATGGTTGGGTAAGAACACAAGGTATATAGCTAATTTGAATTTGAAAAGGTTCACACTTTTTTTAGACACATTGTATATTGATACACTATAGTGACTCTATAGAAAGCCACTAGTGACTCTATGTAGAGTCACTAATGAATTCAATAGAGTGGTTAATGAATTCAATAGAGTGGTTAATGAATTCAATAGAGTGGCTAATCATTTACTCTTTTTATTGAACCTTCTGTTTTCTTAACCCCACATTTTCCTGCGCTTCAAAGCCCTCGTGTCACTTGATGATTTACCACACTATGAGATTGTAATGGTTGGGTAAGAACACAAGGTATATAGCTAATTTGAATTTGAAAAGGTTCACACTTTTTTTAGACACATTGTATATTGATACACTATAGTGACTCTATAGAAAGCCACTAGTGACTCTATGTAGAGTCACTAATGAATTCAATAGAGTGGTTAATGAATTCAATAGAGTGGTTAATGAATTCAATAGAGTGGCTAATCATTTACTCTTTTTATTGAACCTTCTGTTTTCTTAACCCCACATTTTCCTGCGCTTCAAAGCCCTCGTGTCACTTGATGATTTACCACACTATGAGATTGTAATGGTTGGGTAAGAACACAAGGTATATAGCTAATTTGAATTTGAAAAGGTTCACACTTTTTTTAGACACATTGTATATTGATACACTATAGTGACTCTATAGAAAGCCACTAGTGACTCTATGTAGAGTCACTAATGAATTCAATAGAGTGGTTAATGAATTCAATAGAGTGGTTAATGAATTCAATAGAGTGGCTAATCATTTACTCTTTTTATTGAACCTTCTGTTTTCTTAACCCCACATTTTCCTACGCTTCAAAGCCCTCGTGTCACTTGATGATTTACCACACTATGAGATTTACAGGGTGTCCAAAAAAACGCAAAACCATTGAAATAACGTATTGTTAAAATGTGAATGCCCTATACTAGCACTAAGCTGAACGCAAATATGCGTAAAATATTGACAAGGGTGATATTAAATCAATTGATTTATTAAGAAATTAAAATATCTTTGTAAAAGCGCACTATTCTTGGGAATTTAAAACAGCTTCTTAAACGGTTTCTTTATGCATAACATTTACTTTCGTCAAGCTTTGATGCACGTGTGGGTTCAGCAGAGTGCTGAGGCATTCAAATTGTAACAATACGTTGTTTCAATAGTTTTCGGGGTTTTTGGGACAGATTACAAAACTTTTGCGTTGCGGACGGCGAAAATCTTTAGAAATTTTTTGTGAGGCGCTGGGAGAAACATTCGCCTTGGCGATAACTGAATTTCTAATTGAACACATGCATGAACTTTTAAAGTAGTTAGAAGTTTGTTCTTTAACTTTGTTTGATATGTTATATGTATATTTATGAATATCTAAAATTATAAATGTGGACAGTGCCATTTTTTCCGGTGCCATTTTTCCGTATTACTATTAGTCAATTTCATGGTGCCACTTTTCCGGTGGCAATATTTCCGAGCCCCGCAAAACTAAGTTTCTTCATTTCTCGTGAGTGATACAAGTTTAAAACTGTGAAAACTTTTAGGAATATGAATAAACAGACGTACTCGCCATAACCAGAAAAATAATCTAATAATTTCTTGGTCAAAATAATCTCTATATTAATATTCTCAAAAGCTTAGGAATGTTCACGAAGACGAATATTTACTGGGCAAAGAAGTATCTGCATCGCCAAGAAACGTGTGAAGCAACCTTTCGAACTTACAGACTTTACTTCGTTTCTTCTGGGTCCAATGTTCAGTAACCTAAGATCTATATCAGTAAATATAAAAAATATTGCAAAGACAGACCTGCATGTACGAAATGTAAAAGATGCCGCGTACTGAATCAATATTAAGCTGTATATATAGTGTCCGATTGTGTGTAGTTTAATAGGTCTAGATGCCATCAATTGATATTACCCAAATTTATGCCTACCACATATACTTTGTTAATATTAGGATTCAGTCAGCATATCACTAATCTCACATTCTGTATATATACTATTTAGTCTAGGACCTGTATAAGAGTTTGTATGCGTTTCATTTAGGACAGGTAATCTCAATTTTTTGGGGGTAAAATGACCATGGCGGTCAACATGGCATATGTGCCAAAACCTGAATCCGGGACGAAAGTCCTGAAAATGACCCCGCCCTGAAACGGCAGTGTCGAAATAGCTCTAACTTCCGAAAAGGAAAAGGAAAAGCAATAGCCTTTCTGAAGTGCTTATAGTGTTCAGAAGGGTTGGTTTTAGGGGTGGTAATTGGAAGGAAAAAAAAATGTCTAAGTATAATATTTTACAAGAAAATGACCATGCATCACCCCAGGTAAATTGCTAATTGCACAAAATAACTAATATGCCTGGCAGAAATTAACTTTTCTTATTTCCTAAAAAAAATTATCATGGGGTGAAAAACTATGCTCAATTTAATATAATTATTGTGGGTTTCATAAGGTTTGTCATTATTTTCATTAAATATAAAACATTTTATTTCACTTACCCTCCCCCCACCCCTACGAAAACACGATTTCAGCCATATTTTGCCGTCTTGTTTGCTTTTTATCGCCGGATCTGGCAAATATCGTCCAGTTGTTGTTCTTTTACATAATCATAAGTGGCTGAAGAAGATTTCAAAGAAGGTTTCATCAAATTTGGAAACAGTGGAGTGTATTTTATCTTCGATATTGTTTCTTTCGATATTTCGTGAAATATGGCGCCATTGCAATGGCGCGCCGCTTCTCTGCCCGATAAATGCGACTTCTTCGGATCGTCTTCCTATGTATTTAGATTACAGTATCCAGAAGTAATTCATTGTAGAATAGTCCCAATCGAAAAATTGAAAACATTAGCTGTATTGGAAAGGAGAAAACCTCCCAATACCATTGTCTTGTCAGAATTTAAAAGAAGTAATTTAAAAGTCACGCGCAAGTTCATGAAAACTCGTCGTGGGCTGCATGACGGGGGTGGGGGATATTTTCACGAGACATTTGTTCGCCACCACAGAAACATAACTAAATACACTATATTTATTGAATGTTTATGATTGATGATAAAAATACGCAAATATTTATTGTTTTTATCATCATTCATAAACATTCAATAAATATAATGTATTTAGTTAGGTTTCTGTGGTGGCGAACAAACGTTTCTTGAAAATATTCACCCCCCCTGTCATGTAGCCCACGAGGAGTTTTCACGAACTAGCGCGTGACTTTAAAATTACTTCTTTTGAATTCTGACGGGACAACTGTATTGGGAGATTTTCTCCCTTCCAATACAGCTAATGTTTTCAATTTTTCGATTGGGACTATTCTACAATGAATTACTTCTGTATACTGTAATCTAAATACATAAGAAGAAGAAGAAGTGGCATTTATCGGGCAGAGAAGCGGCGCGCCATTGCAATGGCGCCATATTTCACGAAATATCGAAGGACGCAATATCGAAGATAAAATACACTCCACTGTTTCCAAATTTGATGAAACCTTCTTTGAAATCTTCTTCAGCCGTTCATGATTATGTAAAAGTACAACAACTGGACGATATTTGCCAGATTCGGCGATAAAAAGCAAACAAGACGGCAAAATATGGCTGAAATCGTGTTTTCGTGGGGGGAAAGTGAAATAAAATGTATATATTATATTTAATGAAAATATTGACAATCCTTATGAAACCCACAATAATTATATTAAATTGAGCATAGTTTTTCACCCCATGATAATTTTTTTTAGGAAATAAGAAAATTTAATTTCTGCCAGGCGTATTAGTTATTTTGTGCATAATTGGCAATTTACCTGGGGTGGTGCATGGTCATTTTCTTGTAAAATATTATACTTAGACAAATTTTTCCTTCCAATGACCACCCCTAAAACCAACCCTTCTGAACACTATAAGCACTTCAGAAAGGCTATTGCTTTCCCTTTAGAGCTATTTCGACACTGCCGTTTCAGGGCGGGGTCATTTTCAGCTTTTGGCACATATGCCATGTTGACCACCATGGTCATTTTACCCGAAAACAGTTGAGATTACCTGTCCTAAATGAAACGCATTAAACTCACATACAGGTCCTAGACTAATTGTGTTTTTAAATGTTCCAATATTGACGTTCTGAAGAAGTAACTATATATGTTCCTTTTAAATAGGAAACTGTACGTTGTTTATAAATCCTAACTTACTATTTTTATCGATTTAAGATTACCAGTAATTTCCAACATGTTTGTTGTCACATGGCATATTTGACTATAATCATCGGTCTTGAAATCGAAAAGCCAGGAATGCCAAAAATGTTTCACCTACATGACCAAAAAATGATACGTAGGTTTTGCAATGTTGACTTTGAAATTGTAAAATGATACTCCCCCTCGCGAAATGATGCGCCTATTAATTTAAGGCCAAGCAGTTGGGGTCAAGCAGTTAATAAGCAAAACATCCCTTTCTACACAGCTAATAAAGAATGGAATAATATTGTACTTTTCATTAGTTCAGTATCACGAATTTTCGAAACGTTTATCGCGATTTCTATTCGAAGAAATCATAAATTTTTGCACGGCTTCTATCACATGACGGAAACGTCAACACATTTAGACACGTGAGCGAAATATTTGCAAGTTTACTACGCAATGACCGTATACTTTTCTGAAATAGCATATTGACGCAGATAAGGATATTTAACCCCCAAGACATTCAGTATTCTGGTGTACGAATATATTTCATTGTTCACTTTCTTTCTGGCCTGATATTTACAGGTATTGTTGTTGCTTTGAAAGAGGCAGAAATCGGGAAATTTACTTGTTATGTCGCGCCTGAAAGTACGCTGATATACAAGACACAAGTCGACAAAGCATGTTATTCAAGGTACCAACAGAATTATAATTCCCCACTACCATTTTACTGGTTTGTCATTCTGAGTATTTGGTTCCCGATTATTGTCGCTGTTATATATTCACTCTGCGTCCGACGTCGTGTTGAGGAAATCGACCCAAGTCATGAATCACAAACACAAGAAGAAGTAGAGAACCAGGTACAGAATACAAGTTTGTATGTTTATTATTTCTATTTTTTCCAACTTGCTATCCGCGTCCTATCTGGAATACTGTTTACTATCCTGCAGTATGCCGTGTTTCATCCAAGTGGTTTTGATTTCGAGTTTAGCTGTAGTCTACCACCAACCGGGTTTACGTCCAAGATAGCAAAGAATGGGAGTGCCAGTCAGTCTAACAGTACATCTATTGCATGTGAAAATGCAACTGCATCTGACAAAAACATATCGTGGGTCATCGTAACTGTATTTAACGCGAGTTTTGCCTTAATTATGTTCCTGGAAATGATTCGTCTTTGTCGACGATTTCCAAAATGCAAGTATACAGTTGGTTGGGGTTGTGATGCCGACTTCATTACGATTTATCTGTTGCGAAAGCGATACACGCGTGTTGAGATACAAGTAACAGACTTGCAAGCAAGAGAAGTTTTGGAACCCTGTCGTGCAATTGACGGTGTTGACCTAGAGTTTTCAAACCTGCAGGAATGTATAGACTTTTACAAAGGACAAGTTTTGGAACCTTCTCGTACAACTGACGTAATTTCTGGACCCAAAACTGGTTTAGATGATTTGTATATTGACGTTGTTATTCATACCGAACGAGCTCCGCATAAATTTTCAAAAGATATGGAAAGACATGAAATGTTCGATGTTTATATGAAAGTTCCGCAACACTCTATACGTCTAAAAAAGGTAAAAGATTTATTTTATCCCAACAAAGATACAACGGGCAAGTCTCCTCGCAAGATTCTAGCCGTTGGACGTCCCGGGATAGGAAAAACAGTCTTGACTGAAAAAATCATGCGTGATTGGGCTAATGGAGTTGATGAATTTTATCGTCGCAAAATTGTCTTCTACTTTAAGTTTAGATGGTTCGATTCAAACGAATTGAAAGACATAACTCTGAAGACGTTTCTTCGTCATGGAACGAGACTGAGCGATGAAAATTTTGAAAATATTTATAAATATGTAACCAAACACCCAGAACAAGCCATTCTAATCTTTGATGGGTTGGATGAATTTAATGGCAAAGTGGACTGCTTACAGCACTTACCGCCTCCTGATGATCCTAATATTTGCATGTCTGGAATTGATTTGTTAATTAAACTGATTTCTGGATATTTATTGAAAGGAGCAACGCTTCTAATGACGAGCAGACCGACTGCTAATGACTTTTACTCTAGGCTTACTTTCGATAGAACTGTTGAGATCCTTGGTTTCACTTCAGACAAAATTGAAACATATGTAAGCCAATTTTGTGACAATAATAACCGAAGTGATCTAAAAGAACAGATTTGGAACCACATTAAATCCTCGTCAGACTTGTTGAATTTATGTTACATTCCTGTAAATTGCTTGATTGTTTCTACAATCTTGTTTGAATGTGTTAGTGATCCTAGAAATGACAACGGTGCTGTACCGACAACAATGACTGAACTTTATCAGTTAGCCATAACTTATTTTGATAAGCATCACAATAGAAAATTGTCCAGACATTCTTCTGAAGAAGCAATTAAGAAACTTCAATTATTGGCATATGATGGAATTGAACCCAGGCAACTGGTTTTCGATGAGGAATCATTTGATGAAGAAATGAAAAATTCTGGTTTGTTGAACAGTTTATCGAGCCCTATTAGGACACAATTTTGTTTCATCCATCTAACTATACAAGAATTTCTTGCTGCAAGGCACGTGACCGAAACGTTTACTCCGGAAAAGATCAAGGAGTTTATTTTATCTCATATTGAAAGTGGCAAGTGGCATTTAGTGCTTCAGTTTATTGCTGGTTTATTGGGCAAGAAAAACGGCTACAAGGATAGTGTTTTGGCGTTCGCGGAAAGCTTTGTTTGTAAAGATGGTATACTTGATGTTACAGATAACAGTGTAGTGATTGTAATAAAATGTCTGAGGGAGGCGGATGACGAGTACATTGCTAAACAAGCTTGCGAAACAACTGCTATGAGTGATGTCGTGAGTTTATCACGCATGGGTAGGTCAACCTTGACCTCAAGTGACTGGGCAGCAGTGACTTTTGTTTGTAAACTCATGAAGAAATTAACGAAATTAGATTTCGGGACCTGGACTGAACCATTGAGTGAGCATTGTTATCTGGAAATTAATAAATTGCTGCAACAAAGATGTATAAAAGAACTGAATTTAAGCGGCTTGTTAGATGCCGACATTGAAGAGGGAGATGTGTTTAAAGCATTAATGGAATCAAATTGTTCATTGAAGCACGAACACGTTAAGCTTACGCAGTTAAAAATTGCCTGTTTTCGCGTAACGGATAATGAAAGTTCATCGAAGATGTGTGAGTTTTTCAAAAACGGACATGCAAGTTCTCTGGAGAAGTTAATCCTCCAACGTTGTGAAATATGGTCAGGCGGAGTATCCATACTTTGTGAAATCCTTGACAACAAACTCTGTCCGGAACTTACATGTCTAGATCTTAGTGGGAATAGCATTCTTGATGAGGGTGTAGCAGTGTTGTGTAACGCTCTTATTGAACAGAACCTATTTAAGCTTGCTGAGCTGTTTCTTGGTAATTGTTCACTAACTGATGAATGTATACCTTCCTTGTGTGAGTTACTCAGAGATAAACGTTGCAACCTGACTGTTTTGGAACTCTATGGTAATAAAGGTATAAGTGATGAAGGTCTACGTATGTTGTGCCAATCTGCTTTAACAACAGAGCATTGTAAACTTGTGGAGTTGAACATGTACAGTTGTTCATTAACAGATGACTGTGAACCCGAGCTACTTAAGGCATTGCAAGATGAACATTGTAAACTTACTGAGTTAGGTCTTGATGATTGTTCATTAACGGATAAATGTATACCCGAGGTATGTAAAGCACTGCAAGATGAACGTTGCAGATTAACTGTATTGTCTCTAGAAGGCAATAAAGGTATAAGCGATAAAGGTTTACGCATGTTGTGTAGATCTGCTTTAACAATGGAGCATTGTAAACTTAAGAAATTGCGCCTGCCTTATTGTTCATTAACAGATGAATGTATACCGGATCTACGTAAGGTGTTGCAAGATGAACATTGTGTGCTTAATGAATTGCGGTTAGATGGAAACAAGTTTACTGAGGAAGGCAAGAAGTCCCTTCGTGAAATAGAAACACATGAACATGTGAAGGTAGAGGTTTAGAAATACGCGTTAGGTAATGATGATTATATATTTAAACGTTTAATCTTGTAAATACACGAAAATATATGTCCAAATCAATTAAGGTGGCTCCCTACAGTTATATAATTTTCAAGGTATTTTAAGTGGTCATTATTTATTGAGTTAATATGGCCATTTAAATGTTATCTTGAATACAT